ACCCATTTTTGTCCCAGAGATTATGAACGACTCTATAATTCTCTCCAATAGCAGGAAATTCTATAATTAAATTAAATTATAAGACAAATATCTTATCATATATATGATATATGTGACATATTTTCTATACTTACATATATCATATACATATGAATCATTAGAGTGCCCTGATAAACGTCTTCAACTATATTTTGTTGAATTAATTTATCAATTCAGTAGATATTTATTGAATACCTACCATATGCCAAACACTATTCTAGGCATTTGAACACAGCAGCAAACAAGACAAAAACAATATAAACATACACAGACAAGTAAATAAACAAGAAAAATAGCAAATAATAAGTGCATATAGTTAAAATGATAGAGACTGCTATAAATATAAAAATAAAGGGTATATACTCCCAAATAAGCCAGATAAATTGTAGTGCCCATGACAGACATGTAAACAAAAGATCACAATGTAGAAAACTGAGCACAAAAATGACCAAAAGAATGGAGGAATCAGCTCTGCTTGATGGACCAGGGAGGCTGTATAAGTGCATATATTTAAGGAAGATCTTGAAGGATGAGTTGGAGTTTATTAGATTAGGAAGAGTAGTCTAGCCTGAGAGAACAGCATAAAAATGTAAGATAATAGGAAACAACCAGGGAATTAAAAGATTTGGGCTTTGGTAGAGCATAGAGTATTAGTGGGGAAGGGTCATGTGTTGAAGCTGGACAGTGGGCAAGAGTCAGACAACAGAAGTCATGTGTAGTATGTTAGCAAATTCATACTTTATCCTATAGGCAACATCAAAAGACTGTAAGAAATGAAATAAGATAATCAGAGTGGAATTTCCTCAAGTGCATATGACAAATTAGATGGGAGTAGGAAGAAAAGAGACCAGTTATGAGACTATTGTAGTTTTCCATGAGAGGGTTCATAAATAGAAGCTGCAGAAAGAAATACAGAGAGGAAGAGCAGCACAAGAAACATTACAGAAGTGGTAACCAATTGAATATGGGGGTAAGGAAGTTGAAGGGGTCTAAGAAAACTCCAGGTGTATAGCTTGGACACTGGGTGAGGAATAGGTCATCAAGATAGCCAGCACAGGAAAGGAAGAGCTTTGTGGAGTAAGAAAATGAGTTCATTTAAGGCTATGTGGAGTTTGGACATTTCAAGTAGGCAATTTAATGCCTGAATCTGGAGCTAGAGAAATAGGTCTGGGATACAGATTTAGATTAGATTAGAGAGCAATCAGCCACAATGTAGTTCAAGCAAATGACATGTAGAACAAGCATGAGCTTTGGAGTCAAACAAACATGGGTTTGAATTCTAGCTCTGTCACTCACCAGCAGTGTGATTTTGAGAAAATGACTTAATTTCTCTGAGCTTCAATTTCTTCACCTATAAAATGGATATAGCGGCTACCTCATAGAAAGTTTACTGAAAGATTAAGTATAAAGAATGTGTACTTTTTGTCAGAGTTTTACACACATTAACATGTTTGATCATCAGAACTACATATGTACATTATACATACATATTAATTCATGTATAAATATACACAGAGAGATAGGCATATGGATCACCTTCTAACAACATCACTGTGTTCTCAGAGAAATGCATTTGGGGTGCCCACTGCAAGGCATTTGAGAAGGTTCCTCCCAGAAGAGCCAGGAATTTGAGTGGGCACCCCTGATCTATTCTTCTATTTTTATTTGGTTCCCCAAATTCCTTATAGGAGTAAAACTTTAACCCTCAAAGTGAGGACATTTTTGTATTCTCTCAAAGGTTTTCCAGGATCTATCCACTCAGATTCCTTTGCAATTACCCAGCCAAAATAGGTCCTTAGGATTTATTCTGAAAGGCAGATTTTCTATTTATAAAAGTTGTTCAGGTGGATGTGTGTGTTTCTAGTTCTTTTTAAGTTAAATGTTTACACTCTCCAAGAGTACCCAGGAATGTGAGAAGTGGAGGAAAGCTTTTTCTTCAGGAATGACACCAGCATCATGGCAGCGTGAGCTCTCCCGGCAAGCGCTCCCCTCCACAATACAATGAAAAAGACATTCATACTCCAACAGAGGACAACCATACAACACAAAAGACATCTGAGACACCCACACAGCCATAGGTTGGAGGGTGGAGAGGCAGAAGCCCCCCTCAGAGAAGGTGGAATGGGGTAAGAGAAAACTTCACTCCTTCCCCAAAAGACTGCAATCTGGAAATGCATGTGGTCTCCAAGTGGGAAGGAAGGGGGCAGGGTGAATCCATTTGCAGGAACATCAAAGATCTCAGAGGTCCCTCATCACCTAGGGGAAAGCCCCTACCAAGGTGAAAGCTATCAAGGGAGTGACTTCATCAAGCCAACACCCCAGGAGAGCAGATAGTGAGGGCAGAGAGAGAAAACCCCAAGAGCATGAAGAAGAAAGCACACCTCCCCCCACCTGCCCAGCACCAGCTCCAATGCCTGGGACCCTGATGAAACACACATGGCTCAGAATATACAGCTCTTGACCCCCACCCAGTGACAATAAGTGGTAACTGTGACCAAATAATACCACAATACAAAGGAACAAAGCCATGCCCTCTAGCAATATCAAAAATTACATTAAATCTCCAGACCAGAGAGAAAATTACAAGTACCCAAAAATCAGTCCTGAAGACACAGAAATATGTAATCTAAGTGCAAAGAATTCAAAATAGTTATCAAAACACTCAACAAGTTAAAAGAGAATGTAGAGAAACAATTCAATAAGTTCAGGAGCTACTTCACAAAAGAGATTGAAACTATAAAGAAGAGCCAATCAGAAATATTGGAGATGAAAGGCACAACAGATGAGATAACACAAAATATGGATTCCCTGAACACTCAAGTGGACATCATAGATGAGCGAATCAGCATAATCAAGGACAGACATATTGAAATGCTCCAGATAGAGGAGGAGAGAGAACTAAGACTAAAAAGAAACAAAGAAAGCCTGAGAGAAATATCCTACTCAATTAGGAAATGCAACATAAGAATTACAGGTATTCCAGAGGAAGAAGAGAAGGAGAATGGAGCAGAAAGTTTGTTCAAAGAAATAATAGCAAAGAACTTCCCAAACCTGGGGAAGGAGATGGAAATCCATGTGAAAGATACTATCAGATCTCCTAAATATGTCAATGTAAAAAGACCTACAGCAAGGCATATAGTAGTGAAATTGGCAAAAGTGAATGACAAAGAAAAAATAGTAAGGGCAGCAAGGCAGAAGAAAATAACCTACAAAAGGACCCCTATCAGGTCTTCAGTGGATTTCTCTGCAGAAACCTTACAGCTAGGAGAGACTGGAATGACATATTGAAATCTTTCAAGGACAAAAACTTTCAGCCAAGAACACTCTATCCAGTGAAAATATCCTTCAGATATGAAGGAGAAATAAAAACTTTCGCAGATAAACAAAGCTAAGGTAGTTCATAGCCACAAGACTCCCCTCTACAAGAAATCCTCAAGAAGGCCCTCATACTTGAAAAAAAAAGGGAGAAAGGGGTTATAAAGCACAGATTAAAGAGATAAATAGGTAGACAAAATCAGAAAATTGTAGCTATACATCAGAACAGGTTAGCAAATACTCAAGTATAACATTAAAGATAGAAGGAAAACATCAAAAACAAAGATAATCTTGTCATTTTAATCACAAACTCACAACACAAGATGGAATAAGATGTGACAAAACAACATAGAAGGGGAAGAGGAGGGGACTGAATCTGTTTAGTCTAAGGAAATAAAAGTCCATCAGAAAATGGGCTCTCTTATCTACGAGATTTTGCATGCAAAATTCAGTGTAACCACTAAACAAATAAGTAGAACAGAGAAACAAATAATAAATAAGGAAAAAACAAAGAAACCCAACATAAAAAAACTACATAACTCAACTGGTAGACCAAAACACATGGATGAGAAACAAAGGAAATGCAGGAGAAACAGAAAACAAGTGATAAAACGGCAGCAATAAGCCCTCATATATTGATAATCACCCAAAATGTAAATGGATTGAATTATCCAATAAAAAGACACAGAGTGGCGAGATGGATTAAAGATCAAGATCCAACAATATGCTGCCTCCAGGAAACACATCTCAGCTCCAATGACAAACACAAGCTCAGGGTGAAGGGATGGAAGACAGTACTCTGGCTAACAGCAAACGAAAGCAGGTGTCACCGTACTTATATCAGACAAAGTGGACTTCAAGATAAGACAGGTAAAGAGAGACAAAGAAGGGCAGTATGTGATGATCAAAGGGACACTTCACCAAGAAAACATAACACTTATAAATATCTATGTACCCAACACAGAAGCACCAAAGTAGATAAAGCAACTATTAACAAACCTAAAAGGAGATATTAATAATAACACAATACTAGTAGGGGACCTAAACACTCCACTCACATCAATGGATAGATCATCCAGACAGAAAATCAACAAGGAAACAGTGGAATTAAATGAAAAGCTACACCAGTTGGACTTAATAGACATATATAGAACACTCTATCCAAAAACAGCAGAATACACATTCTTCTCAAGTGCTCATGGAACATTCTCAATGATAGAACATATGTTGGGAAACAAGGCATGCCTCAGTAAATTTAAGAAGATTGAAATAATAACAAGCATCTTTTCTGATCGCAATGCTATGAAGCTAGAAAATAATTACAAGGAAAGCTCTTCAGAGGATAAACAGATAGCAAAGGAGAAACAAAATTAGTGCAAAGACAGGTGGTCCTGGCCTAGAGTAAAAGCAGTCTACTTTTGGGTGAAGGATAAGTCAGGCCTTTTGTTCACAGTCTCCAGCTGGACACAATCTGAAACTGTCAGCAGAGTAGACTATTCATCACATTGTCTTAATTCAAAGAAGTTAGACAGAACTTTATTTAGAAAAATCATAGACAAATTGACCAGGTGACTATTCAAAATTTTACTTAATTGAATATACATGAGAAATTTTAAACACATTATAATATTTAACATATACTTTACCTTGATCATTATTCTTCGTAATCTTTTGCGTTCGAGCCACCCTCTGACATATGCCTGCATGATGGTGACCATTTTAACAAATTTTTTGTTAATTATGAATTTATTTCTTTCCCGGAACACCTGGAAGATTTCTATGTGTGGTCCAATTCTTTTAACTTTATTGTCAAGTTTATCACTTTTATTTAGAATAGACTCTGGCCTAAAAATAAAATATAGAACTTTCTTATTATAGTTATTAAGAAGAATAAACATTCCTGAAAAGTCTTAAATTCATTTCAATGATGAATATATAGAAATAGGAAATGTAATTTGTACATAGAATTCATATACATCACCTGAACATGTCAATACAGTTCACCAAAAAGGGTTAAATATGCCAGAATCAATATAACATGTATAAAATTAACCTTCTAAAGAAAGGAAATCCAAAAGAAAGTGAACTTGTCAAAGTTTATCCACAACTATTCAAATGAACGATATCGTACCTAAGGAACACAATATGTTCATGTGACAGATAGAGCAAGTTAGTCAAAATAATTTTCCTGTCCCAGAAATTGTTTTAAACTAAAAACTACTTCAAATTATTTGGCATTGATATTCTGCTTACCAAACATCATCTTAAAAGTAATTCTATGTTTCAAATGCTCTCAACTGAGAGGCATGGGAGAGTATTGGTAAGGTCATGGACTGTGAGATCACAGAAGCTACCAACCATAATGGAGACCATGACAAGCCCTGCAATACTGACATGGCCCTTGCAGTGATGATAAACACGTGAGAAAACTGCAGACTTTCTACCATGAACAGACATTCTGTAACCCTAGTAATCTGCTTTTCTCTTTTATATATCTGTTGTGCTTTTTATACAGTAATCAGTATTTTCAAAGTCTTCCAAAGGTCAAAGTCTAGTTTCCTTGAGGTTCTCAGCATACAAAAGTCCTGTTTTCTTCTTAATCAATTTTTGTTTCTGCATCTTTCACAGCTGAAGTTCCAAAAAGATGCTCAGGTCAATTCATACACCAGAGCTGAGTCTTGAACAAAAAGTGTGCTGTATATAAACCTCTGAATCCTAGGCCCAACTTTCTTGATTCTCAGAGTGAATATCCCTGACTCTGTTTCTGCATTTTTTTTTCTCTGAGTCTGTTGTGATGTCTGCATTAAGCTGGTTCTTGATGAGTCCTGTTCTGTTTTGTATATGGCCATTATTTTTCTTCCCGTGGTGACTGAAATGTTGAGAGTCTGATTTTGATTATTTGACCCAGCCATCTAGTCTCTGTTGGGTGGTAGATGGTAGATGACAGAGAATTCTAGCTCTGCCTTTTTCATTTGTCTTTTCTGTTAGTTTGTCTTGAAGCTTATGGTATTTTCTGATATGCCCTGTACTGTAGGTTATTTGAAAACCAGTATAGCTGACATCATTCAAGAGATAATTTAGTGCCCACAGGAATGGAGATCAGCTCCAGATGAAGAAACTTTCCTAACAACTATTCCTTGGAGATCTTTTTTTGACTACCTGACCTTCCTATTCCTAAGCAGCCACAATTGACCGGTGAAATTTTCTCAGGCACAGAAAACTGTGCTCCATATTTACTTTTGACCTATAGTTAAAGATACAGAACTGAGGCTGTTAGTTCTCTTTGTGCTTGTGTGTATAAATGAAAAAAGTCCTTTCTCCTCTTGTAAAAGAAAGGAAGTTAGCCTTGTACAATGTTCTTGTAACTATAGCTCTTTTGTATCTGTACCTGGTTCTTTCTCTCATTTTCTCTCTTGAGAAAACTTTGGTAGATTAATGAGTCAAAAATATATCATTTTGTGCTCTGTAGAAATATCTTATTTAAATAGAAAAAGCTACCAGAAAAAGTAAAGAAAACTAAGTGAATTTTTCTGTTTGTTTGTTTAAATTAAGATTGATTTCGAACAGCTTAAAAAGAGAGAGCTCTGCCTTCTAAGAGGATTTTTGCTTGGTTAATATAACAATTTTTATGAATGGGCCTCAACATATGAGATAAACTGGGAATGCAGATAAAATGGAAATGATTACTTCTGGCTTGTTCAGAGTTTCAAGATCTACTGTGAAATCTAAAGAATTCTGATTTCATGACGTTTTCTCCTTTCTCTCAGAAGAAATAAAAGAAGTGTTATAAAAATACCCAAATGAGCCAAGTTTATACCCAAAGTTCCATGTTTTAACAACAAGGTGTAAATAAATCTTAAAGGGATATGTGTGATTGATTGTAAGGTGATGTGTCATGTGTATTGCTAAAGCACCAGCAGTGGTCACTAGAGCTCCGCTGGTCTCCTACGTTGCCTTGAACGTCACAGAGTTCTTAGTCACCTACTGAAAAGTGTGTGTGTGTGTGTGTGTGTGTGTGTGTGTGTGTATGAGAGAGAGAGAGAGACAGAAGTGAAATTAGTTATTTCAATTTCTAAATTTCAATTAGTTATTTCAAAAAGCTGTAGTTAATATGAGTGATTGGAACTATATTAAGTAAAATAATAATGAAGAAATGCAACATGTTCACAAAATGACAGATGTGTTTTGTCTGTTTTTTTATCAACTGAAAAAGGAAGGAATTTTATCTTAAGCCCTAGACATATGGATTTTGATCAATAGTACATCTATAAATAACTGGAATGTTAAAAATAAAGTAAAGGGAAATTTGAGGTTGAAAAATAATTTATAGAAGGCTTGATGGAAAGTGAATTGTATTTACAAATAATGGGTTTGAAAAGAAGCTATGAAATTTACCAAATTTTGACAAAGTTAGGTCAATTTTGATGAGCTTAATCATAAAACAGAAAAACGCTTGTGAATCCTTGACTATAAAATGTTACATAGGTGGGATACAAAAGAGTAAGCTTAGAATTTGATTTACTTTCTGTTACATTGACAAACTGATTTTTTAATACAGTCTGCTCTTAATTTGACACAGGAAATATCATTCAGTGCCTTCAATATAGTTTGCCTAGAAAACAAAAGTTCCTTATATCAAAAAACATTCCTTTTGTCATGATTATGAATCTGTTTTTCTTCTTTGTGATATACTTCTTGCAAAGTCTCGTATTTCTAATATGCTACTTGTGGCTGTGTTACTTTCTTTTTACTCTAAAAGCACCAATGACTTTTGCTCATATTTTCCCTCCTCTGACAATTCTTTCTAATATTGTTTTTCCCAAATTCAAGGCCCAAATTTAAAAACAAACTGTTATGATGTCTTTTTAACCTACTTTTGGGTGTCCCAGATGACTACAGGATCATACTAAAGACTCTCTTCTTCACTATATAAGAGGGATGTCAGAAATGGTAAGGTATGTTTGGCATAATTGTTATATAGATGAGTTACAGATGGCTATTGTATATTGGCCCCTATGTTGCTTACTTCTTACATTGGGTCAGGACCATTAGCTCAAAAGCCTGCTTACTCCAAACTTAAAATTTTTAGACACCCAACTGCTTTAAATATGTCCCAAATAAGCACATTTTTAGCCATTTAGAGCTTGCCTGCTTTGCGTATGCTATGAAACTGCCACCAACATCTGCTTGCCACAGATAAGACACACTCTGGGACCATGAAAGACTCCAAGCCACTGCTGCCTTCCAGAGCTCTCTGACCCAGAGAGTCCTCATCTTGCTGCTGAGAGACATCAGCTAGACATGTAAGCCCTCTCTCTGACTCTGACTCCTCTCTCCTCTAGAGTTCCCTTATTCTCCTCTCCTTCTGATTGGTGGCTCTATGTCATTATCTCTGGAAGGTCTTCTGCTGTGAGGGACATCCCCTCGCATGCAAAGCTGTCCATGTGATGTCCAAATAAAGCTTGTTATATGCTATTGCCACCTTGTGGCCATGTCTTTTCCTTGATGAGCCCCAGGTTCCTTGAACTCACTGCAATGGTCCATAGTTTTATTTAACTCAGCACTATATTGAGGGCTGTCCTATTTATCAAAGTCCAAAATATGAAAAGAGGTGACTAATCAAAGAAAAGTTCTGCCTCTTTAAATTAAATATGTAACAACTAAAACATTAACATAAATGTATTAGAAGCACTTTGTGGTAAATTGGTTGCATTGATGGCCAATTAATGCCTCAGTATATCCTTATCTTTGCAATGTGATTTTATAGCTCCACCACCCATGAAGAAGTAGAGCCTAATTACCCACCTATGACTCTGGGCTGGCCTTGTGAATTGCTTTGGCCAGTAGAATCCAATGGAAGTGATGCTGTGCCAGTTCTTAACTTCTGCCCCAAGAGGCCTCACACAGTTCCATTCTCTTGGAACCCCACATCTACATGAGAATAAGCCAACAAGCCTCTAAAGAATGAGATCACATGGAGAAGAAACATGCTGTATGCAACTTGAGCAAGTTGGACCCATCAGGTGATGTCAGCTGAATCTGGACCAAATCATCAGAACTGCCTCATGAGAAATAACAGTTGCTGTTTTAAGCCACTAAATTTGGGGATGTTATTGTAGCAGTAGATAACTGACACACGTACTTATGTTTATACCCAAGGCTGACACAATTAACTGTTCAATTGGTTTTTTAAAAGATTTTATTTCAGAGGTAAATTATCTCTGCCAAGTAGTGACAATTATGAAAAAGACTTTATGGGATAAATTTTTTTAAAACTTGAGGTTTGTCAATGTCCTCACTGTGAATAATATGTTCCTATTTCAAGGTGATCAATGACTAAATCCTTATAGAGAGGAATAGAGGACTCCATTCCTCTCTACTCTAATATTGTTGATTGTTATACTAAATATATACTAATTATGCTATTCAGTCATATCTTCAACAGGTGGCTTCTGCCTTTCTCTCACACTTACCTAAAACCCCCGATACAAATTAGAGGTCATACATTATGTCTTCTGAAATAAACATAAAAAGAATGGTAGCCTTATGAAGACGCATTTTCTTAATAGTTTATAGGAAAAGGAAAAGACTTCTGACTACAGGCGTCTCAATTTAAACTCATATCGTAACCATGGACCTGCTGCAACTCTTTTTACCCAGAAACAGACAATTTCATGTCTGCTTAACCCAAGATCAGCAGAACAAGACTTAATTATCCAGGGTTGAATAAACAGATTATATTATGATTAACATTTATTTTTTAATTGAAATTTAAGAAAACTCCCTTTCTTTCTTTGTGAAGATCTACTTATAAATTTCAATTTGTTTGGCTTTACTTGT